TGGCTAATGTGGATCAGTGAAAGTTGTTGTGCAACATTTAGGGACCTCTGGTTGATGACACCCAGTTTAAGGGAAGGGGAAATACATCTTTAAACTTTGTATCTGTATTTTGCTTTTTCCCCCTTAATGCATAGTTTTAGCATTATGTCCATCTCAACTTGGTCTTGTGGAAGCATAATTTCTTGATCATGTGGCATCTACATGGAAGTACAAATAAGAACATTCTTAAATAAAAGATACACCTAAACTAATATTTGGAAGGTAGATGTGATAGTTAGGAGCCTGTCTGAAGTAAAAAAAATCTCCCAGGTTTTTTTGTTGTTGTTGTTTTTTGCTTAGTAATAAAATATTGATCCAGCAGAAGTAAAATGAGTCCTCAGCGTGTTTCTTTTTCGAGAAGAGACTGTTAAACAGGCAGTCTATTGTCAAACTTGAAACTTGCCATTGCCAGCAGTTTTGGAATTTCCTCCTCCTCCTTCCTTATCTTTCAAACGGCATCCTTTTGGGGTCGACAGGAAGGGCGGAGGTGTATTTGCTGCTATGAGCAAAAGTTTAGGAACCAGATCCCTGCTGTTCGTTCGAGCCTCTTTCTAAATGGCCAAGCATTTAAAAGAAGTGAAATATACATTATTAAACTTAAAAATCTGTAAACAATGTCAACTGGCCAGGTTAGCCCGGATGACTTTAGCAGAAGCTTGTGTTGTGGAAACTGGACAGTACAGTTTTTCACAGAATAGAAAGAAATACTGTCACCCCTGACTCTGTATGCGTAGTATAGTGAGTTGCAACTGAAGGCACAGCTCCAGACACCGGCTGAACATTTAGGGAACTGCAGTGCACTCATGCATTTGATTACCTGTCCAGAGTATGGAAAATGGCAGGCTGCGGTTATTTGCAGGCTTCTCTGTGTTTTTGCATGTGAATTGGAAGTATGAAATGGAACTCAAACCTGGGAAGTTCTGAACTTTTTCACTCCAGTTTCATTCCAACCTGTCTGACTTAATGCCATGAGATGACCCTGGCATACCTTGCATGTCATCTGCCAAGACCTGGAACTATATCAGGAGTGGAAGCATGAGTTTCTAAAAGAGCCTTGGGTTTCTGTCTTTCTCTCTCTTTTTTTTTCTTTCTCATTTATGATCAGTTCATTAGACAAGTAGCAGGGTATGGTAAATGCTCCCTGTTCCACCTCCCCAAATTGTTTGGCCTTCCATGCTGATAGCCCAAAATATTTTACAGCCTGAGAAAAAAAGGCCAGGCTGGGATACCCACCCCTATTTTCTACACAAAAGCAGACTGGATAGGCAGTTGCATTTTACTTTAGCAGACTGGTGATAGGGTGTAAGGGGTGCAGGCACACACAGTTTTAATCTCCATCAGAGGGGAAAGGCCAGAACTATGGGCGGCTACGGCAGATGGCCCCTGTAGCATCTGTCACCTGATGCAGTTCCTCCACTCTGTCAAATGATAGGGCTTGTGCTGGCCTTGTCGCTTAAAAGTTTCTAAATACATAAAAAAAGAATCATGGAAAGGGGTATCACTTTGGCACTGTTAGACCTCTCCTATTGACATGACTGAAAAATCATCAAGCAAAAACTGGATTTCAGTCATTTCAAGTGTTCTGCTTAGAAAAAGGCACAAACTGCTGGTTTGGCAGTTCAGCTTGGCCATTTGCCCCCCTGCCCCCTCTAGAAATTGCCTACTCAGAGGCAGCACCTGGAGGAGGCGGGGTAGGGAGCTGGGACACAACATAAATGTATAACGCTAAGATCACACATTTTCTGCAAATTTTTTGTATTTTAAAAAATTCAGCTTACTGGCTTGGCTTCAACAATCGTTTGATGCTTCACAAACCATGGATTTTGAAGTCAGGAATAAACAAACCTTCCTTACCATTTCTGTTATGTGCCTGGAGAATTAAACATGGTATGAAGTTTTATCCTTAGTGGTGGTTGCCCATTTACAGTAGGACACTCATATTTGTTGGGGATTGATTACAAGCCCTCCTGCAGATACTGAAAACCATGCATAGAAGTAAACACTAGATTGATTGATTGATTGATTACATGAGAAAAGGGGTGGAAACAGAAAAAAAAATATTTTCACCTGCATTACCAGAACTGACCACTAGAGGGTGGGAGAGAGTATGCTATGTATTCTTCACAAACAAGTATTAACGGCACAGTCTCTGCCTCCCTCTAATGGCTGGTTCTGGTAATACATGCGAAAATAGTTTTTTTTCCTGGATTATTTTCTTTTAATATTTTAAATATTTTCATGGATAAGTGAAACCACGGATACTGATCCCATGGACACAGGGGTCCTACTGTATTATTAAATCTTACATTCCACCTGTCAGTCAAAAATGACACTTTAGTAGCTAATAATAACTCTGTGCCTTCAAGTTGATTCCAACTGATGCCAACCCTTTCCAGTGTTTTCATGGTAGAGAATACACAGAAGGGGTTTGCTATTTCCTTCTTCTGGGGGCACCGTGAGGATGTGCAGTTTGCCCAAGGCTACATAGGCTGGGTTTTCTCCAAGGAGTCACATTGGGGATTCAAAATACCAGCCTCTGGCTTTGCAGCCAGACACCTAAGCCACTGAGTGATCCCACCAGCCCAACTAGCTAACAGTAATACAACTGAAATAAAAATAGGCCAAAAACCCAAAACACAGTAAATTAAAAATAAACAGCATTGAAACAAACTCTTCACCAGCAATTAAGACTAAAGGGTAGAAAGTACTGTATCTCTTAACAAAAATGTATTTGCCTTGTTCCTTTAATTTCTATCCTAACCACAGCCCACTTTCAAGTAGCATCTACAGACATGAGCCTGGAAGTTACAGGTTCAAATGTCACTGCTGTTTATATGAGGAGCCCTCTTGTGGAACTTACATAGAGATAATGGAAATCTTACCTAGTTTGGGCTGGGGGACATCTACCCTTTATAGATGATTTCAGGCATCATTGGTTGTCTAATTCTACAAGTTTTATTTATCTACATTGTTTCTATGTTCCATATGCATTACAATACCTCAAATTTGTTCAGAAGACCCAGAAGTCTTACAGCTATGGAAAACTGTAGGCACATATACTTGAAAATATATGAAAACTAAACTTACGTTGCAGGCAAATACTTAAGTGAGAATTCAGTCCAAAACATCGGAGCAGAAATGTACAATAAAATACAAAAAAAATGTTTTAACCACATTGTAAACATGCAGAAGCTTATAACCTAAAAAGGCACAGAAAAGTAGAGAATATAACTCTAAAATATAGTATTAAAAAGTGAAAATCATTATAACGTTAAGTAAGCTTTAGTCTTTAGAACATGCTACTGGATACACATAAAATTATTCTAACTGCTCATCCAACCAAACCAGTATGCACCTATGGAGAAAAATATGATGTCCTGCTCTGCTCTGAGATGCTGCTGCTGCTGCTGCTACATGCTGCCTTGGTCTATGGAGAAAAATTCATGATGTCCTGCTCTGCTGTGCTCTGAGATGCTGCTGCTGCTGCTACATGCTGCCTTGGCATCTGTTTTGTTGGTATCCATTGTGTGTGTGTGGCATGGTGTGTTGTGTTGTTGCATGTGTCACCTGCCTCCCTTTATTTATATTGCTCTCAGATGTTTACATTTCCCTTCAACTGTGAACAACTGACTTCTGCAGTAGTAACTTACAGGGACTTGATACACAATGAAAAAAAGTATAATGGATATTTTAATTGCTTGTACAACTCCTGTAAAAGACAGCTCCTGTAAATCACTGGTTCTTAACCTTGGGTTACTCAGGAGTTTTGGACTGCAACTCCCAGAAGCCTTCACCACCAGCTGTCCTGACTGGGGTTTCTGGGAGTTGCAGTTCAAAAGCATCCAAGTAACAAAGGTTAAGAACCACTGCTGTAAATCAGAATCTGGCAAGCTGCCAACATTACAATTAGCATTATTATTTTGACTAGCATTTGCAAAGCCAGCAGGTTGCACTAGGACTAAATTAGAGGTAGAGCAAGTTACTTGATTTGCAAACATCACCTGCTGGTCATGTTAACACATTGCAAGGTAATGCAAACCAGTTACACTTCTCCCTTGAATTAATTGCACGGGTCCAGGCAGCATGTTTTTGGTTATGCATGGATTCCCCCCCAATAAGTAAGTAAGTAAGTAAGTAAGTAAGTAAGTAAGTAAGTAAGTAAGTAAGTAAGTAAGTAAGTAAGTAAATAAATAAA